CAGAATAGGCCTCTATTGGAGACCTGCGTTTATTTGTCAAAACGTGTAGCCACACCAGGCTTTTAAAGGGGACCTGCGTCTATTAGGGACCCTGGGGTATATGAATAATAATATGAATACTTATAAACATATAAGTAGTAGAAGTAATATTATCAGTAATAGCACTACCATTAGTTTTAATGCACACTTTGAGTCTAGCTCCAGTGTATGATCGGTCTATTATCTGTACCTCTGCGGAGCTGAAGCAGAGGAGGTCTGGGTTTGATTGAGACTCCGTCTGCTCCTCCTTCCTCCTCCCGGTCCTCTCCCTCACCCCCAGGGCTGCCCTGCCCTCCCACCTGGAGCTGTGTGTCCGGGGAAGGAGCGCAGCCATTCAGCCCAGGTTCAAAGCTGCCAGCTGGGAGGCCAACAGGCGTCTGCTCGGTCTGTGGAAGCTCAGCTGCAGACGGAGAGTCTGGATCTGCCATCTGAGAGTCAGGACATATTCATCTTAAACATTTTCAGCATCGACTGAAGTAAATGGTGACAGAAGCAGGGGTGGAGCAAGGTGGGTGGGGGCGGAGCGGAGTGGCTTTTTGGGCTCCAGTCCAGTTTGTCAAAAGCCCTGAATCTTTTAGGCTTTTAAAATAACTTCAACTGTGTGTCATTTTCCTCCAGTCTCTGTGACTGAATCCAAAAAAGTTCTATTACTGGGAATACCGTCATCTATAGGTCCGCACTAGCATTATCGTGTCATCTTGTGTGTGTTGTGTTTCATTTAGTTGTGGGCAAGCTTGATAACTAGCTTACTTACTACTACTTTTGGACTATGGACACAATGAAAGACACAGTGAAATATAATAAATTGAAATATGTTTCAATAAGATTAATAATGCTGTTTACACCAAATTCCGACCCTACCTATGTTATGTAACATCAACAACGATAGTAACATCACACAGTTGTTGACTCTTTGTTAGTGATCACTTTTTTCCGGGCAACTATCATATCATATTTATATTTTATAACAGGTGATGTACAGATTTGTCTGCACAAATAAAATCCAGTAAATCTAGTAAAAAAATTAATAATTAACAATATAGTGTACAGGAAATGTGTTTAGTTTTTGTCAGTTTGGTCAAATTGGTGAAGACAAGCACGAGGAGTGCTTAAATACCCCCATATTATAATAACTAACACTGAATCAATAAAGACTAAACATTTGAAAGAATAAAAACTAAACTGGAAACTAAACTGAATTGAAACAAAAATTAAATAATACAATGTAAAAAAGAATAATAAAAACAAACGATTAAAATAGTAAAATAATTCTGGTCTGAAAAAAAGACCTCGTATTTGTTATATGAATAATTTTTTTAAAGAAAAAAACATCTATTTCACGTAAAAAGTGCTTTAACACACGAAACATACACACTTTAAAGCAAACATTCACCGCCTGTCTACGAATCAGTGGCAATACAAAAAAAATGAAATAAAGCTAGAGTAAGAAATAAATGCTGATGTTAATCCTCATGTTGAAGTGCCTTTGAGCCATGGAGTGAACAGGCTTTAAGCTGTTGTAGAGCGCAGCTTAAAGCCTGTGGAAGAAGGAAAGAGGTGAAGGTGACTGACCTGTGCGGTGTCAGAGTCTGAGGACGAGTCACTGCTGCTCCCAAAAGCACTGAAATACACTCAGAGGGTCGGAGGTAGAGCGAGGCTCAGAGACAATGAGAGAGAGAGGAATCAGGAAGTAAACTGGCTCTGCAAAGAAAAAGCTTGACTGTTGCCGTGGTAACTGGCGTTGTGTGTGTGTATGTGTTTGTGTGTGTGTGTGTTGGTGACTCGGCAACTAAACGCACAACAAAGCTGTGGAAAAGAGACCAGGAGAGAGGAGAGAGTGTGTGTTGTTCAGTTTATTGGACTGTTACACAACATGACATTTATTTAGACCAAAGCAACCATAAGTTCCTTCACAGCAGCGTTTCACTGCAGCCAGCTTCCCCCGGTTAGGTTGTTTTATGTTTGTGACACCAAAATACTAATCCAACTCTTCTTTCTTATCTATCAGGAGCCTTCCTAACTGACATCCCAACATTTTGCAGTAACACCGCGAACAGAACTTACAGTAGTGATAGCACACGGCAGGACGAAGGTACAACAATTGCTACTTAAACAAAGAAGAGACGAGACCCAGTTTCTCTATAATTCATTATTTTCTTACATTCAAACAAAGCTCTTTATATCTTCCAGTTACTGTAGGAATTCTGGTGTTCACTGCCTGTACGTTTGGTTTTCAAATACAGTTTAAGCTCTTGTTTAAATCCTACATGAATATCACAAGTCCTGTTATATATATAACGAGGAGTACAGTCTAGACCTGCTGTATGTGAAAAGTGTCCTGAGACTTTTGTTATAAATCGATGTGATACAAATCATTGAAAGTTGAATGTTTCTGAGATTACTTTGCAGTTTTTTGCACAAGCTGATCTCTCAGTCTCCGTTCAATAGTTCGTTTCAACCAGACAAACCGCAGTCATCCAGTATCTGCTTAACCTACAGGACCCATAGCGACACACATGCACCTGTGTTTACAGGATGAGCAGGTAGTTGTACATTACCAGGTTTACTTACTTCAAAGCTCCCCATGTACCGTATTATTACAGGTTGTCATTTCACTTAAAGAAATGTCAAATAAATTCTATAAATTGTTTCTCTAAATCCCCCCCATTGTGGAATGCAAGGAACCTTGATACACTCATTTTTATTTAATTATTATTTTAGATACTAGATAAATATAATAGGATATCCATTAGATATTGATATATTGGTGAGATATTGACATTTAGGATGTATATCTAGAAGAGCGTCAGTGCTGGCTAGAGCTGCACGATTCATCAAAATATTATCGAAGTCACAACATGGCCAAGTGCAATATACAGAGCTCAGGAGCTGCATATTTTTTGCTAAAATTAAAATGTGACAAACAGCTTTATGATGAAGAACTGTAGTTGTAGAGATGTCTTGGTCGACAAATCTTCTGCAGATTTAAGAAAACGTGTTTTTTTGGTACAGACCCAAACAGAACAAATTTCTATTTATTTATTTATTTCCACACTAAATATGATGTTTTTACCACACAGTGCAGCCCTCATACTGGCATTATAGGAAACTTAAAAACCTGACAATGGCAAAATGTGCTATAGTGTAAGTGCTGTGTCAGCAGAGGCTGCACAGTAACTGTAGCACTTGCACATGTGGAGACACAAGATTCGACCTGAGAGCGTTTCGCTTAAACTGAGGCTCCAGAATGTTGCACAAATCTTAAGTCAGACGCTGGCTCTGTTCATTGAGTTTTGTGTTTTTAAGGTTATATTTTTTGCATATTTCAATGTTTCCTAATATATTTAAGCAGTGGCGGCGCCAGGGAGGCGCTAGGTGGTGCTGTAGCTCCCCCTATAATAGCCCCATACACCCGCCCAGGCACCCCAAAGAAATGTCTGTGATTTAGGGCGAGCCCAGCGACCGCGGAGGCCCTTGGTATTCAGAATTTCTTCCTTACCTATTATTTTTGACCCATTTGGCCGCAGCACGCCCGAGTTGCGTGGAGTGCGAGGTCCCGCACCAACGGCGGCTTGCAGCTTTAATTGTATATTTTAATGTTTGAATAGTCTTTTTCATTTGTGTATAAAATGTGAATAAAATAATAATAAAAAAAACAAAATTCAGCCTAAATAAAACATGAGGGCCCCAAAACCAGGTGGTATCTTCTTGGCCAAATGGGCGGCAGCGCCCGGCTGAACCTTTGGACCCTTAAGCGCATGGCAGGCTTGTTTTTGATAAGTGAAGTTGGAACATTTACAGCAGAAATATCCACCAAAAGAATGATCGATTTTGCTCCCTAAACGTCCTGTCCTGAGCAAACCTGAAGGGAACGAGAGCTGTGAAGTCTATGGTCCAGTGCATGATTTTCCCCCTCTGTTGGCTATTAGCCAAATTTGTAATTCAATTTGTGGTAGAAGCACACCCCATCTTGGCCCAATTCCATTAGTTAACATCTAGATTGTCGAACAAATAGAAATACTGCGATTCATTCACCAAAGTGTTGGTAAACTGGCTGTGTGATTTCAATGATCTGAGCATTTTAGGCCCGAGTCTGTTGCCTTGGTTGCTGCTGTTTTGCTGCTCCCAGTGTATTCAGGGGGGCCCAAAAACTGTGACAGAAAGTGTGTGAAATATTTATGTTTCAGAGGTTTACATTGGCAGCCTTAATGTCATGTTTATCTTATAGCCCTTGTGTTGAATACTTTTAAGCATATAATGGCTTATAGGTCGCGGAAGCGAGTATGAGGTAATGCGGGGCCCGTGTACGTGTATATATATATCTAATATAGGGTGGTCCGATTTGCGACCTCTAATGAAACGCCTGCCAAAAACCACCTTCTCTTTTAAGTGTTGAGCATCCCATATAGCAACCTGCAACAGAAAATCTCTGAAGCCGCCACCTTGGTATTAAATGATGTTGAAAAGAAAGAACGTGTGAGAAACAAAGAGGAAGAGTTTTTGTCTTTGTTTTAATTTTTAAATGCTCTTTTAAAAATCCCAATGGGAAAGTAATGGCGACTAGTACAGAAACAGTTTTTTACAATTCACCCAATACAAAGCCCTCCCAGTTTATTGCTTTTGTTTCAGTTTGAATTGCAAAGCTTCTGAAAGCATGGAATCCCAACCGCACGGAGAGCAGCGATCAGGA